CCCCCCAATTTTGAAGGAGAGGAAAATATAAGGAGAGGGGAGACTGGGAGAGGAGAGGAGGGAGAACCTTGGCTCCTCCCTTTACAAAAGTTATTAACATATTGAGGGTAGGTAAGCTCTCCCTCTCCCCTCCATTAGCCATTATCTTACCTCCAAACCAAAAGCACCTTCATGGCCTCATTTTCGTTTTGGAGGAAAACTTATATTTTGTATTATAGAACCAAGAGAATTTTTTATGCTATTTTTTCATTTCCCCTTCTTTATTCATCATAATATTCGATTATTGTTGTCAATACAGAGTTCTACCTGAGGGGGTAATATTGTGAAGTTTATCTCCATAAAAATGACACTTATTGTGAAATGGAGGGAGTATGATTTAGTCTAGCAAGATCGTTGGGCTATTTGTATTTCATATTGGTTATTGCACCTTAAAAATTCCTATTGGCCCTAATCATTCAATCTTTTTCACTTTATCTCAAGTGTCTGAAGCAATCTTTGTCATAACATCAAGCATTAAGGATGTCTGTGCGAAACCTCCATCAGAGCGCCTTTTCTTGGACAAGTATGGAAAGATTTGTCTTTGTCTGGATGAAATTGTATGTAAGGTGAGAAAAACCCTTATCAGATTTTTCTTTGTAATTGTTGTGGCACTCCGAAGTTTAGTTAGACAGCCAATCACAAGTTTGTGCGTAATGACATTTTTAATGAAATTCAAAATATACTCTATCAATGTGTATTTTTTTGCACGAACAACTATAAAGGATATACTATTGCCTTTGATCCCACAGTAGATAGGATCAAGGCGCAAGATGGTATGATAATGGTCATGTTTCTGTCGTAGTCTCTTGTATGCATGTTAGCTTTTGGAACTATCAATTTTGCAATAGGACTTGACTATACCAACTAAATACGGAGTATATTTTTCCGTTATTGCCTCATGATAATGGTTATGCAAGTCTAGAGAACATTTGATGATGACAATTGGAAAATTTGATCCTATCTTATTACTATTCCTCCTCTAAAGCTTTGCCACCATCTGCTTTCTTTTTTTTTTGCATGAATTTTTAGCTTCAAGTTACTTAGACGATTAATTGACATTATAAACTTCATGCCACCGACTCCGACATAGTTGAGACTGAGGTGCAATATGTTGGTAGTGATGACGATGATGATAATGAGGAAGGGCGGGAAATTCTAAGTACACCCTCCCCGGGACAAAATGACCAGTCATTTGACATTTAGTCCTATATACTTAGGATCTGCATGGATGGGAGGTGATGGGGGGATGGGCTTTGGAAGGCTCAGGCTCAGCTTATTACTTGATAAATCAAATGTTTCTGGGTCCCCTTCCATCTAATTAGACTTTTAGGCAGCGCTGGACCAAAGACCAGACCAGTGTCTGTTGTTTCTTTTTTTAGATAAGCCAAAACCTTGGAATCGCAGCAGAACTGGCCCGGGTTAAGCGCTTCCCTAATGACTTAAGAGGTAGGCCATTTCCCACTGAATGTAGTTAATATGGTCATGCCTGATCACTTTAATGTTATGTGGTTAGTTGTCGAGCATTTTTCATAGTAAACTCTTTCCCTCTGTCTCTCTCTACACACACACTCACACTTACATATATAAATCTTTGTTTGGGTACTCAGGGGCTGCTGGAGAACACCGAAAAAGAAAGAATTAAACGACTTGTAAGGATGAAGCCTCCTGTTGAGTTCTAAGTGAGATACCATTGTCTACTACTTTTGTTCCGGACTTACTATCAACATGTGCCATTTAAAATGTTTGTCTCCAAGTAAAATGTTCTAAATAGTATATTGAGAAACGCTAAAAAGATATGTTGTATGATTTTCATTAAATATTCAAGACAAATCATGTAAATGTATTTATTTTTCTAACATTTTACATGTGAAATGTTATACGTAGTACTTTGCATCTTACATAAACCCTCCTTTGTAAAACATATAAATCCTTCATTACTAAATGGTTTAGTTATAATAAATGTAAAAGACCTATAGGTGGACCCAGTACTAGTTCTTGGGGGTGTTTGTAAGACCAGGCAGGAACTTGACGTAAAAGATGCAACTGGGATTGGTACTCAGGGTCCAGCCTAGATACAGTTCCGATTTACATGGAGGTACATTTTTCATCTTATATTATTCATATTATGAATGTTGTATAGTATAATAATCCTTCCTTTTATAGTTGTATTTATTACGTACGGAGTATTACTTTTTGGGAAGTTATTATTATTATTTGTTACAGAGTATGTTTTACCAATTTGGAAAGTTTACTCTACTTTTATCCTTAATTTACACGAATATCATTATTTTATCATCTTTTTGATTACTTCTCTACCTTTTCACAAATTTTCGTCTTATTATTCACTAACCAATTAACCATACTATTTTCATCTTAACGTGAAAACTCTATAGTGATGATGACTAATAAATAGGCCATTCTGGTTTGATTTGTGTTTCATTTTCACCCACTTCCTTGGTTCGGGTTGACCGGTATTCGCGAATTCCTTAGAAACTGCCCTATTCACAATCTAGGCCAGAATTCATTAGAAACTGCCCTTGTCCCGTCTTTAATACTCCTCAGGTGCCAAACTTTGCTAATTGCTAGAGCACCTAAATGGTAGCATTAAGGATAAAAGTATTATCCTTGTCCCATCTTGAATCAAATATTACTGATGAGAATACCAAAAACAACATGCATAAAGTTCAAAGTCCAACTAAGCGATTCATAAGGAATTAAACTTTACTATCAGATTGATTGCTTCTATTGTGACAAAAACAACTATCACAAAAAATGACTCTACATTCTTCAATGAGAGAAAAATGGCATGTGTCTCGGCTTGATCATCTGCCGTAAATGGCTTGTAGGCATTCCCATCCATTGATAAGGAGCCATGTGTTATATTGTTCCTGGTTTTACGAGAAACCATAAAGAAATAAGTATATATCATCCTATCTTCTTGTGCACAGTGATGGTTTGAAAGAGGGGTTTGTCACCATAATGTGAGGGAAAAAGTAGAGCACACCCGGGATTGGTGCAAAGTTTAGCATGAAATGCTTATCCCTAACCTTAGAAAGATACAAAGAAGATGGATGGTACTTGGGGATTAACAAGTCAACGATGACGGTAAATAACCACATAGCTAACGGTTAGCCAATAAAAAAAAGAAACTTGTCATTATCCCATGACACTTCAGGTTTCCACGGTAGCTCTTCAAAGTACGTCAAAACAAAAATTATTTTCAGACACTTCAATGGTGACCTTCAATGTTAACATCTCCATTTGAGTCAAAATCAAATAGAGTAGGGTTTCATCTAGGGATGGACTGGGACGGGTTGACCCGATCCGGCCTGTTGGCCTGGTACTGTTAGGCCCGGCCCCGTCTTGGGGCTCGGCCCGGCCCGGTCTCATCCTAGTCCATCATCCCTAGTTTCATCATCGCTACTACTTGGTACTCACATATTTTAATGTTAAATTACTTGCAAGTATTCACACATACTCACATATTTTAATGTTAAATTACTTGTAAGTATTCACACATACCACACTCAAGAAGTACCCAATTACCATTATCGAAATTTGGAAACCAAACACACATACTCAGGGGAGGTAGGGGGCATGCAGGGCCCGGACTAACTAAAAGAACTTTTAAATATTTATCTGAATCTTTTTATATATGGGCTCAGCTTATCCTAGGTTACACCCCTTCATATACTACAAACTAATTAATAGTCTCTTCCGTTTTACAAACAATTTTTTTTATCATCAAAACAAGCCTCTATTCATATCAAAAGATTCAGGATCATTACATCAGACAAAGGGAAAATAAAACTGACACCAACCGAACTCCAACAACTACGATTGTAGATCCTATGATCAAGCTTTGAGACGGTCACCCCTGAAAGAGCAACACGAATCGCTATTCACTAACCATGTAGTGGGCTTGACACAACTAAATTTATTCCCATAGATCCAACCATACCCAATGACATAACGAGAGGCTAAAAACTCAAACAAATTGTCAAAACCAACAACAAAGACGAACACAAGAAAACAAATGTCAAACAGATAAAAATTACTAGGAAAATTTTCACGAACTCTAGCACCTCATACAACCCATGGTGGTGGTTCAGGCGGAGGTCGGACCGTCGCTCAATTGATACACTCTCTCGGTAGCATACATGACCCAAGTCCATGCCATCGGATGGAGCGTTCAACCTCTCCACGCTAACCATGTCTCGATCATCCCTACGTCTCTCTCCCGCTTCTTCCACTATCTTCTCGCTGTCACGATCATCCACCCTGAGCTGCGTCAAAACCGCGGCAATCCGGCGCAGAGCTGCATCGATTGAAAGAAGCGCCGCACCAGGCCGGCGAAACACAAACCCTACGCGAGAGATCTCGCTAGGGAAAAACTTTTGGGAACCTGATTCGATGCTCCGAGTATAAACAAGTTCTTACTTTGATTTATGCACATATTTATGTAAATTACAGTTTTATTTTGAAATTCTAATATTACACTTACTTTATGTCAAATGAAATAAAATGTAGACAAAAATAAGGGCGACCGTAACATTTTATATTTAAATACTACCTCCGTCCCTTTTTATTTAGCCATCTTTGACTTTTCCAGTCAAATGTGATAAACTTTGATCCGTTATTTTAACTAATATATTTATATGAAACTTAATAAATTTATACTTTTATGATAGTAGACTTAGTAGTTGTAACAAAGATCATTTTCATATAATTTTCATATTATCAATATTGCCGTGTATAAATATATAATCGATCAAAGTTGAACAATTTTGACTTGGAAAAAGGTGTTTGGCTAAATAAAAAGGGACGGAGGGAGTAATTCTTTTTATTAAAAAAACTTCATTTTGAATAATACAAATAATTACTCCGTAATACTTTGTGTATACTATGTTCCATTCTTGCACTTTTTAATTCTACAAATAATAATTCATAACATGTACTCCGTAATAAACATATACGTAGTATGATATATCTATACATACATTTCTTTTTGAAGTAATATATATACACAATTAAACAACAAGTGATTGAAATGAATTAGGAGTGAATAATTAATTTCTTTCTAAAGAGTACAGAGTATTAATTATGAGAGGCCGGAAATGAAGGGAACGTCTGTGGAGGGTAACCAAGAGTCGCCGTCGATGAATTCTCCCACGGTGAATTTAGAAGCCTCGGCGGGGTCATTGATGACATGATACCCAGCCCAATTGACTCTTTGGGCCGTTGACGCCCCCGGCCCATAGTTCATATACTCGCCGTAGTATAAAGTGTTTAGCGGGGCCACCGCCATCCACGCCGACCAGCCGGCCGGATCAATCAAGCTGTCCAAAAATGACTCCATGAAGACGGTCGTTGAGTAATTGCTCCACGGCCGTCCGAGGTAGGTCCTCACGGAGGCCTCGGAGCCCTTCAGGTCCGGCGCCGCCGTGACTGTGCACTTGTGGAAGGATGCTCCGCCGCCGACTCTGTTTGCGCCGTCGTCACGGCGGCCGTCGGCGGTGATGGTGTTGGTGTTTCCCGGCGAGGGGTTCCGCACGAAAATGTTGCAGTTCTGGAAGACCACCGCGCCGAAGCCGAAGATGAAGTCGGCGGTGCCGTAAATGTCGCATTCTCGGTAGAATTGGTGGTCAGAGTGGTAGTAGAGAGTGTCTTGATAGCCTTCAAAGCTGCAGTGATAGAAGACCGCGAAATCTGAGCTGCACCGGACCGCCACGGCTTGTCCGTTTCCGACTCCGGCGGTGTTTCTGAATGTGATGCCTCGTGCCATGAATCCCGATCCATCCACGGCTCAAATATATAAGAATTGTGTGAAAATGTTTATTAGTAGGGAGATATTTTTTTCTCAAATAAAAAAAAACACGGTAACCGATTTTTTCCTTGTCATTTTATCAATCATCGTGGATAATACGTAGTACGGAGTAATATTGTAGCTAATTATATGTAATTCTTTCTTTATCTCATTGATAAAATACTAGTATATGTAGGACTTCGTATATAATACTCCGTATTTCCCCGTTATTGAGTAGTACGGAGTAATTGAAATTTTTTAGGTAAAATAATTCCGTTTGAATAATGGTCTGGTAAGAGTTTTACTGCTTCGGCCATTATTCAAACTGCATTATTTTTTATCTAAATGTTAAGGGAAAGTTCCCGAAATGGGACTAAAAAAGTTCGAAAATTCTAAAATAGGACTGTCATGTTTTTATTCCCAAAATAGGACTAATTACTGCCAAATTTGGAAAATACTGCCATGTTTGAAGTCTGGTACTGCCAAAATATGGCAGTAATTAGTCCTATTTTGGGAATAAAAACATGGAAGTCCTATTTTGGAATTTTCAAACTTTTTTAGTCCCATTTTGGGTAATATCTCAAATGTTAACTGATCTAATGGATATATAGTGTATAATCATGGATTAAATATACTCAAATGGTAATGATCTGACAAAGTTTATCATTAGTGTGTAAGTTTAAACATATGTAAATCAATGGATTTTCAGTCCTGACTAGTCATGGACCGGGCCCGGGTCGGGCCTAGGCCCGGCCGGGCCAACAAAATTTCAATGAAGCCCGGGACCGGCCTGGATGTTGACCGGTGCAGGTCCGGGCCGGGTCCGTTTCTATTTTTTTTCTTGATTATTTCATCCCCTACCCTACCCCCCATCCCCCCATCCCCCAAACCCATCGGAAACACCCAGCCCAGCCCATTTTAACCCAACCCTACACGCTCGGCCGGGCCGGTTCACATTTAAGCAATCCCGGAACCGGCCCCGGTTTCATCCATCAACCGGGCCTAGACCCGGAACCGGTTCCCGGGCCGGGCCGGTTCCCACGTCAGGTGGCCCATACCGAGTTCACCACTAGTCCTGACATTCAACTTTTTTACTAAATTGTTCATTTTGATTTATTGCATTGAAATATGTGATAATTAAATAAGTAAAATTGGAGTTATCCCCTTTTTACTAAATTAGTTGAAATTGGTGAAAAGGACTATGATTTCTTTGCTTGATTAATAAAATACGGGCTATATTGTAAATATAGTATTTTCATAATTCAGATTATTCATCCAATTCAACAAAAAATTCACCAATTTCAGCATATCGAGCCAATTCAGTGTATTTCAGGGTGGTTAAATAAAGTGTAATTATTATTGTTGTTGTACGTTATTAATGTTTTTGTTATTATTATTATTATTATTATTATTATTATTATTATTATTATTATTATTATTATTATTATTATTATTATTATTATTATTATTATTATTATTATTATTATTATTATTATTATTATTATTATTATTATTATTATTATTATTATTATTATTATTATTATTATTATTATTATTATTATTATTATTATTATTATTATTATTATTATTATTATTATTATTATTATTATTATTATTATTATTATTATTATTATTATTATTATTATTATTATTATTATTATTATTATTATTATTATTATTATTATTATTATTATTATTATTATTATTATTATTATTATTATTATTATTATTATTATTATTATTATTATTATTATTATTATTATTATTATTATTATTATTATTATTATTATTATTATTATTATTATTATTATTATTATTATTATTATTATTATTATTATTATTATTATTATTATTATTATTATTATTATTATTATTATTATTATTATTGTTATTATTAATATTAATATCATCATCATTATCAGTGGCGATCTTGCAACCAAATATAGGCAGAGACGGATCTAGAATTTTGAGTCAAGGGAGGCGAAATGTTATTCGTTAGTGTAGGGGGGAAATTTTTCTCGCTATTGTAGCGGGGCAGAACTTTTTCAACATTGTAAAGGGGCAAATTTTTTCGTTGATTTAGGTCTTTGCAGCTATTTTTTTATTCAAAAAAAATCCATTAATACATACAAAATGACATTTAAATTTAGAGATTTTTCAGAAATATTACTAAAATACAATTTATTTATACAAATACGACTAATAGTTACTACAATCTAGTGTCATGATTACTTAAGTTTAAATTTGAACACGAGTTACTCTTATTCCATTACTGCTTTAGTCATTGGTCATATTTTGTAAACAATCTTTATTTTAGTCATATGTATGTAATTGTTCTTAGACTTATTACACTCTAAGTTTAGAAAATGAAAAAAAAACTTTGATTTTATAATTAAAGTTCTCTAGAAAAAAGTATTGATACATTAAAGCGTAAGAAATGACAAATCATTATAGCATTTTAAATAACTTCTATCTTGGTTAACCTCATGAATCTTATTGAAATATAAATAATTAGTTTTTAAATTACATTTTTTGTCTACCAAGGAGGGTTTTGTAAGTTACTAGAAGCTTTCTTAATATTACAATACTATGCATGAGATTATTATTTTTAGAATAATATTATATTGCTAATTAATATATGGTGCATATTGAATTTGTATTAATGCTAAAATTTGATAAAGATTATTATCTATGCAATGCATTGTTTTTAGAAAGTAAGAAGTAAATGAGTTGTGTAATTTAATGTCAACAAATATTTATATTTTGGATTCACCTTACATGATCTAAAAATTGTTTAACTAGCTAGTGTGTCTGATATTTAATATCGTTTAATATTTTAAAAAATCGAGTACTAGGTATCCAATAAAGATAATTAAACATTACAAAGCCATGAATTTTTATATAATAAGTATCCTAAATATTAAACAATGAGTTGTTCTATTTTTTATTTTTTAAGTTATGTAACTTATTTTTAGACATTTCTTCTTTTAAATTTCCAATTAAATATTACATTATGTAAGGGTATATATTAATTTTGAAAACTAAAAGTTATGTGGGGTCGAAGATATATATATTTAATTAAAGTATGAAAGTTTTATGAAAGTATTATAAAATTTTGAAAATCCAAGAGGGGCGGTCCCCCCTCCCTCCCTAAATCCATCCCTGAATATACTGTATTCAAGTAATTTTATCTATTGCACGATAATATTGTTTGGTCTACCAATTGAGAAATGTAACTTTTCTAACATTAAAATTCCAAAAATAAGGTTAAGAGCTAGCAATATTGCATAAAAATATATATTATCAATTTGATTATTAATAAAATTTAGGAAACCAAACAAATTAGGAAACCAAATAACTTGAGGTTCTGCCCCCGTTATTTATTATCAATTTGATTATTACTATCAAATTATATAATTTGTGTTTACATTTTATTCTCAAAATTTTGAGCGTTCATTAAACAAAAGAGGTCTGCCCCCGTTATTTATTTATTTATTATTATTATTATTATTATTATAATAATAGTTGTTGTTATTATTATTATTATTAATTTATTACGGAATATTATTATTATTACCAAAAGTAGCAGAAGCATATGTTGAGGAGCCATTTGCACTGCTCTTGTTTGCAGTGATGATAGTCTTCCCAATTCCATCACCAACTAACGTCACGTTGCTCCTATAAATTTCAACGTTCTCGTTGTACACCCCCGTTTTCACATAAATTACAAATCTCCCCCAACTTTCGCTTATCTTATCAATTTCATCCACCGCTTCTTTCACGGTTGTGTAGTCCCCCGTCCCATCTTGTGCCACAACATATCCTGGGAAGACGCCGTCAGTCACCGTTAAACCGGAAACATATGGCACGGTAAAACCAAAAGTTACTGCAAAGAAGAACCAATAACATTGGAGGACAATGTTCATCATTCTCATCTAATCTAGTTTGCCTTTTTTTTCTTGGTTTGGTATATATTCTAGTAGGCTTCCATCAATTAGTTTGTTGATATATATATATATATATATATATATATATATATATATATATATATATATATATATATATATATATATATATATATATATATATATATATATATATATATATATATATATATATATATATATATATATACAAGTCAGGGTTAGGTTGAAGCTAGGAATTCTCTTAAGAGGTGTATTTAGTTTTGGAGCTTTTTCTTTAATAGACATACAAAATGGTGACTTGTTAGAGCAAACTAATCATGTAGTCAATGTGCCTATCTTGTTATCGCGACTTATGTGACTCAAATGCTTGTTGGAACTTGAATTGATAAAGATATCTATTGAGATGAAGGTCAATGTAATAAACCTTTTCATCAACTTAAGATGATTTTTAAAGATGTTTGCCAGAAAACAGAACCACTAAAAATAAGTCCAATATGTAATTTAGTTAACCTAGCCTATCAATAAAATTTAGTAGTATAAGACATAAGACTCATTGATTATATGGAACAATTATAATTCATTAAAATAAAAATGTTTATATTAACTTCGTCCCCTAACATTGGAACAATTACATAACGCTTATCAATAAAAGTGAGTTTCTTTACTTTATATTGAATTGATGATAAAAAGAAAATAAAGTAAAATCAAAATGGATTAGAACCACGCAAATGGATATATATATATATATATATATAGATTAAGGTTCAAGTGAGAAAATCATCTTAGGAGAGAAGTGAGAATAAATATAGATCATTAGATCATCTACTAATTCTCCCATGCTAATAATCTGCCGAGGGGGCTATTATGCCATTTCATACACGTATTAATTACCTTCCAAAATTTTAGGCACTAGCGTTTGATTCCTTCCTTTTGAGTATATTTGTTTATTTATTATGCCTTTATCATTTTTATGAGTTTTGGCCTTACATTTGTTTCACTTTTAGTCAAAGATTCTTTTTTCATTTTATGAGTTATCTGTTTGTTTACTTTCTCTTAACCGGTTGTTTGCTTTTATGTACTAAGTAGCTTAAACAATTTTTTTTTATTTTTCTTTGTGCTCTTCAATTTTTTTTCAATCGTGAAATTGTAATATCCTAATGAACATTATTTTGTAACATATTATATAATTGTGCATTTTTACTTTACATGTTATCTTTTTTACATCTTTATTTCGCGTATTATTATAAATTTACATGATGAGTAGGATATTTCATAATTTGAATTTTTCATTTGCGGTCTCAAATTTATAGTGCAACTTTATGTTTTACACGGTGCACAAATGAATTACAAAAACAATATTCAAAAGTGCACAAATGCACGAGAAAGGTGCAAAACAATTCAAAGAAAAGTGTCATTAAAAAAATGCAACATATTCTAATAAAAAGTGCATGAGAGATGCTAGCTGAGAATTTGTTATATTTATATGCTATGCATTTTTAATAAATTATGTAGTATTAAAAATCAAATAAATCCACGCTTTATATGCTCAGGTGCACTTACTGATTTTTATAGTGCAACTTTATGTTTACACAGTGCACAAGGGAATTACATATATAATGTTCAAAAGTGCACTAATGCACGAGAAAGGTGCAAAACAATTCAATGAAAAGTGTCGTTCAAAAACGTGCAATATATTCTAATCAAAAGTGCATGAGAAATTCTAGTTGAAAATGGATACATTTATAGTTATCATTTTTAAGAAATTATTTAAAATCAAAGATATTTACTTGTTTATATAATCACCGAGAAAAATAAATAATGGTGCTGAATTTTTTATTCCAAATAGCACCTTTTATATAACCACGTTGCATTTCATACAAGATGTATATATCATATAATAGAAAGATCATTTTTGGATTTCTAATAAATTATTTATGTGAGTGTTTTTTATTGGGAAATTAAAAGGGGATGAAAATTAATAGAATTAATGTTACACAAAGTTGGAATAAAGGTGCATCGATTTAATAAAAACGTGCATTATGATATGAATGAAATTGCAGTGACAAACTGAATGCTTACAAGTCAAAATTAATGCACAAAATTAATCCGAATTAATGATAAATTTGAATAATTTATCCGAATTTTGTAACAAAATATTAAATTAAAAAGAAAAAGAAAAAGAGCAATCCTATGGTGCGTGGAATAAATAAATAAATGATCCTAATATTGATGCACTACCCATTAACGATGCACTTCTCTTATAATATTTATGCATCAATCCTATTAAAAATGCATATACGGTAGTAGAAATTAATCAATATATTAGGACACTTTCCATAATAATGGCAATCACTCCTAATTTAAATAGTAAACTTCCAAACTAACTCCGTATGAATAAAAAGGGAATTGCACAATTGATTTACGTAAAAGTCCCTATATTTCAAATTAACCGTAACACATTTATTGCAAATTACTACTTTCCTTAATTTTTTGGATTTTGATAGTTAATTACATTGCAAATTTCGACCATCAGATCAAAGATCAGAACGGCTCTCCTATTTTCTCATTTCTCTCCTGGAACATCTTTCTCACCGGAACCGCTCCCTATATATATATATATATATATATATATATATATATATATATATATATATATGCTCTTGCCTATAGGCTACAACCCTACTATACATTGATCAATTTCCCATATGCAATGGTTATTAAAGCATTGTCCTCAATTGGTTGATTAGAATTACTAGTTAGCGAATTCAAATCAAATAGCTAACCATTATTAGAACATTGCTTTTCTTTTCTTTTGAGAAAATTAATTAATTAATTAGGCGAAAGGGACTAATATATAATAGCTTTGAAGAAAGAGAATTTTTAAGTATGGGGTAAGGTATAACATTATTAATAATAATGGAAAGAAAGAAATTGTAGCTAATCATTGAAGTACTATTTCAATTGAAACTAATTATGCTAGAAATTAAGATGTGACTAGTCAAATTATAAGAACAACTATTTAACATCGAAGATTGAGGGTGTTTTCTTTGGATTGAAATTTGTTGGTCTGGTCTGGTAAATGTCTGGTCAGTATATATTTTATAATTACGGAAATCTGGTCTGGTCTGATCTGATCTAATCCGATCTGATCTGGTCTGGAACTGAAAATTGTCTAAAAGAAAACACCCTAAAGATGCTCATATGTAATGGCACAGTTTAAGGCATTGTTTACCAAAAATTAGTCATTCTAGTATTCTACTCGATCCATGCACCCAAATGCCTTAATTTATTGAGGGTATAGATTCATAGAATATTTGAGTAGTTATAATAATTACTCATGAGGTGTTTTTAGTTAGACTGGTTTCAATATCAGATTATACTAGAAGAGATCGGACTTTAATTTGAAAGTTGTAAAATATTCATATAATAGACATTTATTGGATCAGTTCAGATAGTTCAGACCTGACCAGAACTGCACAAACTAGATTAGGTTATACATGAGAATTCAAGTTCAATTAAAAATATCCTAATAACGGTTGCCAAATAAATCTAAAAATAACCTCCTTTAATGTAGCATTCGATATATTGCTTGCTTGCTTGAGATTTCATTTTCCCATATTGCATGTGAGGTAGTATACTACTAGTAGTATAGTTGTATTATTTCTTTCGTAATTCATCGATTGGTTCGTTTTGCATGCCCAATATGAACGGTGTTAGAATAAAGTGGCCGGCGTGTACTGTTGTGTAGCTTGGCGTGGCGGCCGGAGAGATCACATTATTCGCACTCAAACACAAAGAAGTTAAGGTACGATCGAGAAGAAGAGTGTTTCAGCGCAGCATAAGTTAGCCGGAGAATTCTTCCATCATTTTGTTGCTTTTTTTTTAATAAAGAAATTCTGGTTTAGTTTTTTTTTAAAACCAAAATTCTTGTTTAGTTACATCTTCTTCCTTCTGGATGGCGGGTAAAACTGGAATACTTGAATTACTTTGTTGTTTTTATTTAAGAAATTTTTGTTTAGTTATCTCTTCTTCCTGGTGGCAGGTAAAATTGAGATGCTTGAATTATTTTGTTGTCTTTTAAAAATGAATTCTTGTTTAGTTACCTCACATTTGAGTAGCAATTTCATCACTGCTATTAGATTAATCCAAATAATTGCAGGGTTATAGGATATGATTGGTCCATGGGGGCTAATCAGTTCCATATTTAATTTCCTTTTAGTGTAGCTTTGAGTTATTGTATTGTTTTACCTCTTGTTACTTTCGTTATTACTTCCGCCATCTCATCAACATTGGGGCATCAAGGGGTGACACGATTATTAAGAAAACTGAATTTATGTGATTGATATTGAATTGATAGAGTAAGAATAAAGTAAATGTAATTTAAATCCACACAAACTTGACCAAATTTGGTACGAGATAATCTAATGAGATTTCTGAAAATGTAAAATGAGACAATCTAATTAGCGGGATGGAGAGATACTAATAAATGAGTATTCATCTTTCGAAAAAAGTTAGCCGCAAAGGAGAAAAAACACCGGGTCTTCAGGGGTGGAGACAAGGGAGGCGGGAGGGAGCCTCCCGCCTCAGTACATGGTGGATGAAGTGGAAGAGTGCGTCGGGATTTCTATGTGATAGAGATATGCCGACCAGATTGAAGGGTAAATTTTATAGGACAACAATTAGGCCTGCATTGTTGTACGGCGTAGAGTGTTGGGCGGTGAAACAATGTCACATCCAAAAGATGAGTGTGGCAGAGATGCGCATGTTGCGTTGGATGTGTGGGCATACTAGGAAGGACCACGTGAGAAATGAGACAATCAGACAAAGGGTGGGAGTAACACCTATTGAAGACAAGATGCGGGAGTGTCGCCTATGGTGGTTTGGTTATGTGCGTAGAAGACCTAATGATGCACCTGTCAGACGTGTTGGGATATTTGGAGAAGAGGCAGGGAAGAGACGGAGAGAAAGACCCAAACAGACGTGGGTTAGGGCAATCCGAAGTGATATGCTTCTTCTTGAGTTGGATGAGGGTA